ATAATAGCCCTATCCGAAGAGCTATAGTCACCAACAAAATTAAAATAGAAAAATTTTGATATTTATAATTGTGTCATAAAAAACACTGACTTACAATTGACTGATGACTCTACATCCCATTGGTAGAGGGATTCGGGGGTACGAATTTTTTGTAACATAAGGAGTTGAGGACTTGCTCTAGTTGCTAGTCTCTTAAAACGTCCTCCGATCACGTCGTAAGCAGATTTTCCATGTGAACTTGCAACAAAGTTCAATTCTGCCATTTCTTTGAAGGGATTTTAATGATTTCAGACCTTTAGTAAAGCTAATATGATTTATTCATATTGTTTTTGGTTTTTACATACCTTTCCTCTTTCAAAAATATACAATTTCATAAAATTTCAATGTCTATTTGAAGGGTGAACACACCAAAACTGCGACACTTTGGGAAGCTTATAACTTACCCAAAAAGATTTTAATATTTTGAAATTCAAATACCATAAGCTGACCATGATCTTAGATGGACGTAGAAGAAATTTCATTTGAATTTGATTCCTAGTTGAGTTAAAAATGGCAACCGAGTTAGGAACGAGACAAACCATTTTGCATGAGTTTATAAATGATCCGGCCTTAAGTACACGTAAAATTGCTAAAAATTAAAGATTGCACTATTCGACAGTTTTCAGGGTTTTAATCGGTACAAATAAGGCCAATAAGGTTAAAGTGATAAAAACAGTGCTCGGATGTCCTCAGTGTGTTTTCGCGAGATCCGAAGATTTTGTCGCGTTATGTTGCAAAATCCGTACGGAGATCGCAGTTTTTCGTACAAAAGGTAAAGCGAAAAGCTTCATTGAGATGTTCTACAGCTCAAACAGCGCCAGACCGATGCGCAAATTAGAATGTTACAGCGAAATCCCGCAGTTGGAAGTTGTATGAATTCTAAATTTAAAAAATACAACTGCATTGTTATGGACTACGAAACCTACTGCCTTAAAAATTCAAAATATATTGCAGGTCAAGATTTTTATACTGCTACAAGTCGTCAAGATGCCTCTGAAAGTTGTAAGCTGAAAATGAAGCCCGAATTTCCAAAAAAAACATGGGTTGGCAAGCTATTTGTTCCTGTGGCCGTAAGAGCAGCCCTTTTTGCCCATCCGGGACAATGAATGATCACGTTTATCGGGATGAGTGCCTCAAATGCGTCTTCTGTCATTTATCAATAGATAAGGTAGTAGGCCACTGTTCTAGGCGGACATGGCAAGTTGCCACTATGCCAAGGACACATTGCCGTGGTATAATGCAAATAACATCAATTTTGTAGCTCACGACTGCAATCCACCCAATAGCCCAGAGCTATGTCCTATTGGGGAATATTGGTCAATAGTCAAAGGAATCTTGAAGAAAACAGGTGAAACAGCAGTAAAAAATATTGAAGAGTGCAAAGCAAAGTCGTTGTGCGCATCGCGTCAAGTCGATGATGCAGTCGTGCAGAACATGATGGCGCGTGTGCGATGAAAATACCGATCACATGCATATGGAGCAAATAATAAATAATATTTTAAGATTTTAATAACATCTAAACTTCCAGGTTCTATAATACAAAAAAAAAAGTCATTTCAAAGCCTTCTAGTTTGCTTCTGGTAGTAATCTCTGTGTCGCAGTTTTGGTGTGTTCACCCTTTATCATATTGCTCTAGCGTTAACGACCTAGAGTCCAAACGCATAAGTAGCCCATTACGCCCATTTGGGTACTTAAAGTTGACATTACAGACAATGTTTTTATGTAAAAATAAAAATATTTAAAAATGCTATAATCAAAAAAAAATAAAAAATTTTACTTAATTTATTTTCGTTTTTCATACGTTGCACATTATTGTAAAAAATGTACAATTAAAGCCCATAAAGAGACGGAAGAAATACATTTTTTTCATTAAGTTGCGTTAAAAGGTGTTCAAGATACAGCACTTTAAAGAAAGGTATGTATGACGTTTTCTTAAAATTTAAGTCCCGTGTAAATAGGCAACCCTACGTCATATCGGCTAAATGTGCTGCATGTATATTCATGTCACCTAGATCTCTTCAACTTTCATCCAAATCCTTAGAGGTCTCACAAAGAGGTGGCCGCGGTGACATGAAATGCCTCTATTTCTTTTTTTTTTTTTAAAGAACAGGCACAAATGAATAATTTGACAAAAAATCTGTTATTTCTTAAATTTTTTCCCTGTTAAATTTAGATTTTTTTGTATTTCTTTCATACAAAAAGAAAAAATCTTGAATGTTTTTTATGAATAAAAATAGTTTCTTAAAGATGTTTTTTGATAAAATAACCTCAAATGACAAAATGGTTAAAAGTTTAAAAAAATTGCATAAAAATATATTTAAAAAATTAAAAAAAAAAATTTCAAGGGAATCGTAAGAAGAATAACTGAACCTAAACTCTTCCGATTTAGACTTGTGAGGTATCATTGGAAAGGTATTTTCTCACCCTTTTTATTTCTTTGCTAATAAACTCATTCAAAGGATGAAAAAGAAAGGTAGGATAAACGAACATCATTCAAAGTTGAATTAAGATGTGTTGGTATTTGAAAAAAAAAAATAAAAATTTAACACCAATGTCTTTTTTTGCACATAAATAAAAATAGTAGGAAAATACTTTTCTACCGAGATCCCACAAGAGACCTTTTTCAAAAAGTTCTTTAGAAACTATTTTTATTCATAAAAAACTTCATTTTTGGAGGTATTTTCAAATCGGTCCGACTCGCGTAAATCTTAATATTTTTCCGAAATGTTTTGGTGGATGTCTTAAAATATAATAAATTTTGTAATCCCGGTGGAAAACGGCAACTTTTTTTGGCGATGCAGTCTAATATACATACGTGATTAAGTGGAACCACTTTTTTAAGCTGAATAGCGGTAATTATTTATGGAAAAAATACTCGATTTTCGGAATCAGCAAGCGATTCTGCAAAGGAACTGGATAGTGGCATCCAGTGCGCATTTTTGTTGTAAGTCAGTGTTTTTTATGACACAATTATAAAAATAAAAATGTTAAAACAATGTTATAAATATCAAAATGTAAGATAAGTAGTTATAGTTTCCAGTTTTCATACTAAAATCCTATGAAAATTCACTATTTTGCTACTATCTCCCTCACTACCATTAAATCGGTCTAGCTCTTGCTTTAGCAACCGAATTAATGTCTGGCAAATTAATTTATAGTCACTAGTTCTTAAACAACATCATATTAAATTTTGAGCTTTACTAAAATGTGTTGAAAAATTTAATTTTTTATAAAAAATCACTTCTGGCACAATGTTAGCAACACCGGACTTGTCTAAAAGCTAGTGAAAGCCAGTGAAAAGAAAATTAGCTTTACTAAAATGATTTTAAAAATTGGCATTTTTAACTGTAGAGATACGATGCGCACTAGTCAACGCAACCATTACCGCCTGGCAGATGGCCCGCACGCTAAACGAGGGGGTGACAGAGATGTCATACCAAAAACCCGCTGTCCTGAAATTCTCTCTCGAAGACGTTGCTAGCTCTTCGACTACTCTTTCATCTATCTTCGAAAAACAACTGATAGCTGGCAATGCTGC